GCGCAGGAGGAAGAGAGTGGCTTGGAATGCCTTCAAGAGCATCAAAGAAATAGCTAAGAGGACGAAGAACCTCCTGCTCTGGGCACATCTCTTTGATTCCATTGTTCTTCTTGCATTAACATATGCCTCAGAGACCTGGGCCCTACAAAAACAGGATGAGAACACTATTTGGGTCTCCCTAAGAGGAATCAAAAGAGCTATGCTTGGAGTATTATGCTTCACTCAAATGAGAGAAAGAATCCAGAGTTCCGACCTACATCGACGGTCAAGAATCAGAGATGTTGTCTCGTTTGCCAAGGCGTCGAAAATAAGTTGGGCTGGACACTTAATGAGATTTGGAGATGACTGCTGGACTAGAGCCTTTACTGACTGGATTCCACAGGATGTCAAAAATCGCATAGCTGCCCACTTACGAGATGGTCAGACTTCTTTGTCAAGGCCCTGAATGATCAGTTTGAGGCTGTTCGTGTTCCTAGGATGAACAGATGCCACTGGGCTACACTACGATGCAACAGGGATGAATGGAGATGTTACTGGTGCCCGCCTGAGCAAATCGATGAGTATCGGGATGTCAAGTGATCAATTTACTTATGTATGTGTTAAATTAAAGTTATACTCTATGCCATGCTATAAAAGTTGCTCTTTTCAGTATATCTCAGAGAGCTTTCTATACAGGCTTTATCACTAATTATTAGGGGAAACTTGAGAAAAAATTATATTTTGTGCCTTCATTTCTTCATATTTTAATGAAAATAACAATAGAACAGGCTTCATAGGATTATTGGAGGGTGAAGTGGGTTAGAACAGGGCAAGTGCCTTAACCACTGAAGGAGAAAGAAGTTGGGATAGAAAAGGATAGAAAAGGATAGAAAAGGAACCACTAGTTGGAAACCATCACTCTGGATAAGAACTGCATGCTGAAAGTAAAGAAACAAACAACCTCTCAGTATCGCAAACCATAATGCCCACAAGTGGGGTGTGTATGTGCATGTGTGTGTGTGTGTGTGTGTGTGTGTGTGTGTGTGTGTGATGCTGGTGGTAGATCATTGCATGACTAAAACTTAATCAGTAGTAGGTTTGTATCTGTGTATCTCACTGTGATTCAATAAAAAAAAAGAACAGAGTAAGTAATTAAAATTGTGTCAATACACCAAGTAAGTGCTTTGTCAGTGTCTGCTCATAGTCTTACTATTTTGAGATTTATTTTAATCTTTTAATCTGAAAAATAAATTGACATACTATGCTTTGTTTAGGACATTTTGAAATTAATTATCAAATTTCCCAGAGAAAGTTCAAATACACAATGAAAAAATAGCTTATTTATTAAAAAAAATAACTGATCTGATCTATTTAACATGTGAAGAATTAAACTTTAGTACAATGGTAAATATTGTCTTGAGCCCTGTGATGGCTATCAGGGACTTCCTTTAGATATTCTGTTCCTGTTTGTCTGAACACAAGTTTTTTCCAGGCTTATCCCAGTTCTGTTCAAGATGGCATTCAACAGAGAAAGGGAAAGGGCCTGAATTATTATATTATCATTTGGATCTTTTTTTGCTATCTGCAGAAGGTAGAACTGATTGGCTCTCAGTGCTGGCCTTTAAAGTGATCTTTGGGTTGATACTGTAGCACTGTAGCACTGTCCTCCTGTTGTTCATAGATTTGCTTGAGCAGGCACCAGTAACGTCTCCATTGTGAGACTTGTTAACTGCTTTTGGCATATCGAATATGCTACGGGGAGCTTGCCGGGCTCTCTGAGAGGGACGGAGGAATCGAACCCACTCAGCCACGTGCAAGGCAAATACCCTACCCACTGTGCTATAGTATTAATTATTTTCCCTTGTCTGAAATAATATGCCTACCTTATTCTTTTCATCTCAACCTTAGACCTCATCATTCCTCTTTTTCTCTTAGAAATTCTGTGTGTTACAGTGAAGTCTTAAGCTATTCCTCAGTCTCAGGCATTTGGAATGTCAGGAACTCTCTCTCATGTTCACGTAATCACTGGCCTGCCGAAAGAAGGTCCTATGTGAGGAGGCAGGGATAAAAGGAAAACGGGATTTCACCTGACCCTCGTTCTCCCCGTGGTGCCATTGTCCCAGCATCTTTCAGTTCTACAGCATTGGACTTTGGGTTATTGCTTCCTCTACTCTATCACCCCTCCTTCCACTTCCTACCTACTTTTCTAGCCTAGTGACTAGAATAAGAGGGATTGGCCTGTTGGTTCTATGAAAGCCTGTTATGCAATCTGAACTCTCTAAGTTAGAGCTGATAAGTTAATGGGAATTTAAGGATTTTAAGATATACCTTATGTTTGAGGACCATTGCCTTATCTTTGGGGTATTATCTCTGGAATGCCAGCACATAAATATTAACATTTTCTTTTTATTTGTATTCCTGCTGTAATAATCCTAAATTATCCCAAAGCAAATGAGGTGTGTATGTGATGAAGGTCAGTCCAAAGATTTTGCAATAGAAAAGAATATTAATACATTTGAATATTATTCCCACTGGTTCTTTTCTGCTGCAGTGAAAATCTGTATATCATTCTGTGTATGTGTATTTCTCTAAGTTGCAGAGTGAGGATTCTAATTGCGAGAGAATATGAACATCTTACATCTTTCAATGTAACAACAAATTGTGCTACAAAATGCCTAGACAAATTTACACTGGTATTGAGAGACTTCTAGTACCTCTACTTTACTGTGTTAGGCATTGTATGTAACTTATTCCGTATACATTCACCCAGCAAAGTTCCATTTTAAGTATTTGTATTCTTATTTCCATTTTACATGAGAATTATAAACAACTTGTTCAAGGTCACATAAGTGTTTACTTTGGTAACCCTTTCAAGTAAAGCATAAGAAGCCTGAGGTTTTATCCCTCCATTCTAAAAATCAAACTCTGCTTGGGATTAATTTTTATCAATCTGACTTCTATTATATTCCACCTGTCCTGATTAATAATGAGTTAAACTGAAAATAAGCTAAAGTATGTTAGACAAATGTTGCTGTTGTTTCTTTCAGTTCAAACACTGTTCAGTAGTCAAGGACAAAATGGTCAATTCTTCACATCTTTTTTTTTTCACCCATAGTCATTAAGTTACTTGGGAAAAAAACCCAAATTCAGTTCTGTGAGAGATTGAATCTGCAAGTACCTTTCATGCTTTTTTCACCAGAATAGTGAGGCCTGAGGCATAGCCCCAAGGCTCTAGCCATCAGGGGGCCTCTCTGTCTGGAGGGGCCATACCTTCAGAGTCAACATCACCTACAACTACAAGAATCTTGATCAAGACTGACAGAAGCGAATTCCTCAGGCACCCAAACAGAACTTGTTCAGCTGAGTCGTGATACTTAAAAAAAAAAAAAAAAAAAAAAAAACCCAAAAAAAACCCTCTCTTTTTGAATCTCCGGCCTGTCCAATCACACTGTCCTCACAAAACAAATTGTTGGATAACGAAACACAGACTGTAGCTGGAGACTGTCCTATTTACAGCACCCTCTTCAGCCGGAGGCGCAGCTCTGGCTGCTCGCTTCTATCTATAAGTTAAAGCAATGGCCTCGGCAGGCAGTACACTGTGTACACCAGCTGCAACTCGTTATCGGCTTTGTCCAGAATAACAAACAGAACAAACACATTTTGCAAGGGCTTTTTCCCCCCTTATGGAGAGATGGAGGAATTGAGCAATCAGTGAAATGCTGATGTATCAGTTGTGCTGACTTAGGGAAGTCCAAGGCCACATTAGTACTATTAATTAAACCCTGAAAAACAAAAAGAAGTTCTCAGAACTTTATTCAAAACAATATTTCTGAGGTAGGAAGTTGTAGTTCTCCCCACGGGGAGAAGCAAGAAAACATTTGTTTCACTTATTATCAGTTACTCATGCAGGTTGCTTTGAACATAATGATGGGTTAATTATTATTATTTTTTTTTGTAGATGATCTATGTTACTTGGCAGATATCACAATCTTTGACCACAGAATACCTCAATTTTTATGTTAGCCACCGACTCCTGAACTTTATCAGAAATGATACTACCTCCAAATTTAAACATTCTCCTATCCTTCCCTCCTATTTTGACCTGACCTCTACCCAAGTATTTCTGTTGTTTTAATCGTGTGTGTGTGTGTGTGTGTGTGTGTGTGTGTGTGCGCGCGTGCTCTCTTTCTTATATAATTAGTATCTTGAGCTTCCATTATTCCTTCAAAGATCCCTTTAACTTCTTTTCTCTAACTGGCTGACATTACTCAATGGTTTGGTGAATAATCTTCCATCTCTTTGTCTGATCCCATGTATTCTAATAGGGTTGAAGAAAACCACATACCAGGACATTCTAGTATCAATATAAATGAAGGATCAAGTACCAATCTCAAAAGGGAATTCAATATCATTCGTTCTCCTGCTATGGTTTCCTGATAAGAATATGATGTTAGTCTTCACAAGAATTACTTTAAACATTCCAAGCTCAATTTAATAAGTATACATTCTCCTTTATAGTAAAGTAGAAATTATCATGTAGACATGTTCTCATTGTCACACTATAGTATGAACAAGCAACAGAAAGAAAAGAAACAAAATGAGCTGCTTCTGAATTCACTCTCACTGATTGCCTGTTACCAGGATAGAAAAACTCTCTTTCCCTTGAAAAAATAGGCCTTCACTGTCCTATTCCATCTTGACTCTCTAACTCAGATACCACTTTTGGGTTTTACTGTTACTCTAATGCGCCCATTCTTTTCAGGCAGAACAGTCTAATCAATGTGTAAATATGCTACAGTCACCTTATATCTTAAAGAAAAGCACCTAATAAAGTCTTTCCTTGCTCCACATCCTCATTCAACTTCAATTATTTTGTTAAACTGCTTTTCTCTCCCATGTTATTGCCACGTCTTTAGGTCTCATTCACTCTTTCATAACTTCAATTTAACTTCCCTGATAGCCTAAGTAAATTTAACATATGAATTCAAGTAAATTCTACTTCTTTTGCTTTTTAGCCTAAAGGACTCTGGCGAACAACAACAAAACTCAACAACAACAACAACAAAACTCAACAACAACAACAACAACAAAAGAAACATGATAAAATTTTGTGCTCTTAAGGGAAAGGAATTTGACATTTCATGACCTACGTGAGTAAAGCAGCATTAGTCAACCAGAGCATTTTTCTGGGAAAAGTGTTGGAAGTGACTGATTAGCAGTTAGCTTTCATGGTTAATGGAAGATGGGCGTTCCAGTCTGGTGAAGGGCAGGCCATCCATACCAACCTATCACAATCATTTTCTTTACATGGACTTGCTATGCAAAATATGAATTATCTACATAGCAATTATATTGAACCTTTAATAGCATAAATTATACAATTTTACCTCTCGGTGCCTCGGACTGAACATTTATTTCTCCTTCCCCAATTCTTATATTAAAATTCTAGTTAATATGAAGGTAATTTGTAGATGGGGCCCTTACAGTATTTAGATTATGAATCAAGTTCTCCATGATGAAATTAAAGTCTTATACGGAGAGAATTTGGGGAAGTTTGCTTTCCTTCTCTCTCAGGAAACTAGGACTATTATTATTTTCATAGAACACAACCATGCTGGTCCTCTCAGCTTTGCATCCAAAATGTTAGAAAGAAATGTTAGAAAGAAATGTTAGAAAGAAATGTTTGCATCCAAAAATGTTAGAAAGAAATGTTTTGTTGTTTAAGGTATCATTTCATAGTAGCTTGAGCCTACTGGCTCTGCGTCAAAGTCTTTTAACAGATTTCCATTGTGCTATGAATGACAAATTACTATTTTAACACATCTTATCAACCCCTTTGGGATCTGGATTCTGAATCTCTGTTCATCTCTTCTGATAATACTCTCACTTTGACATCCTCTGTCCCACCAATCAGTTTTTAGATAGATATCATCAATTCCCAAATCAATTTCTTCATGCATGGTGTTACCTTTGGCTGGAATATTTTGCGTGCTACATTATCCAAGTAATACATGTTTTTTTTTTCTTTTCAGTTTAAATATTACTTCCTCAAAGAAACTTTCTCTAAGTGTGTAATTTTAATTTTATTCCCCATTACTATTTTATGGGCTGGAGCGATAGCACAGCGGTAGGGCATTTGCCTTTCATGCAGCCAGCCCGGCTGAGCCGGGTTCAATTCCTCTGCCCCTCTTGGAGAGCCCGGCAAGCTACCAAGAGTATCTTGCCCACACAGCAAAGCCTGGCAAGCTACCTATGACGTATTCAATGCGCCAAACATAGTAACAACAGTTCTCACGATGGAGATGTTACTGGGCCCGCTCAAGCAAATCGATGAATAATGGGAGGACTGTGACCGTGACTAATTTATAGCTAGAAATGCTGCTTTTTCCTCCTGCACAGTTGTAATTAGACATTCTAATATAATTTATAATTATCCATTATGTTGTTTATTTCTAAGGTGAATACCTCTATTTTTTTGAAGCATCTTATCTGAACTGTAAAGTTTGGTATCCTGTAAGTTCATGAATATCTAATAAGTTGTCAGAGAGACTCATCATGTTGAATGAATGAAAAAAATGAATGGATTAAATAGATAAATGATGAATAAATGAGAAAAATTGGATTGTAGGGAAACACATTTTGGGGGATTTAATTTTCCTTTAATTCTACTTAAGTTATCAGCACAGGGCCATTTGATGCTTAATCAAATATCTGTCTGTGGTATTCTTTCTGAGATTTTAGAATTTGTTAGATAATAGTTTATTCTTTCATTTACCTTTCATGCTTTTGTCATTCATGTAGTATTGATTTATCCAATCTGGTGAGAAACTGAGAAATAGCTAACTGACTTGACCCACAATAGAACATGTATTTGACAGAGCTGGAGATAGAATTTACCTCTACTTTCTGACCCATTTAGCATGTTGTATGCTTCCCAGTATATTCTCAGAATATATCACTGTCACTGTCTTCCCATTGTTCATCGATTTGCTCGAGCAGGCCCAGTAATGTCTCCATTGTGAGACTTGTTGTTACTGTATTTGGCATATCAAATACATCACGGGTAGCTTGCCAGGCTTTGCCGGGTGGGCGAGATACTCTCAGTAGCTTGCTGGGCTCTCCGTGAGGGGTGGAGGAATTGAACCTAGGTCAGTCAGGTTGGCCGCATGCAAAGCAAATGGCCTACCGCTGTGCTATTGCTCCAGCCTTCAAAATATATACTGAGAATAAATACGCATCAATAAAAAGAAAATATATGGAGAATAAACACACATCAATAGGACGTTAAAACTGTAACTTTTTCCCTGAAATATATTACTCTAAATATTCCTTCTCTGCAAGTTTGAGGAGACAGAGCTGTAGGTCAAGTACCTTTTCATATTTACTAGAATTTCTTTGTTTCTTTCTGTAAAAATGATGCAGATAAAGATGAAATAACTTGGTCATTGTAATAGAATGAATTTGTGTCAAAGTTACATTGTGGGATTTCTGACTTGCATAAACATATAAACTTTTATCCTCATTTGGACAATGTTTTCTATGTTTAATAAATATTTATTTATTTATTTATTTATTTTTTGGTTCACACCCAGTGACGCTCAGGAGTTACTCCTGGCTCTGCACTCAGGAATTACTTCTGGCAGTGCTTGAAGGAACATATGGGATGCCAGGGATTGAACCTGGGCTGACTGTGTGCAAGGCAAACACATTACCCGCTGTCCTATCGCTCCGGCCCCTCTATGTTTAATATAAAAATCCTAATTCTGCTGACTGCTAAGCCTTTAAGGATGTATATCAAAGAATATGAACCCTTCTAGGAAAATATTTTATATAAGATTTACTTACTTCTGTTGATATCATTCTCACATATGACCTAAAATATTTTTAAATCCACAGTTTTCTTCCAGCTGTCTTTGATTGGATCACTTTGAGTATGCTCATGCCCTTTGAAATAAAGAAATAAGTACATCAGACTTGATTCTACAAATTCGTAATTTCAAATAAAATTTGCACTATGTATCTGCTAGGTAATTCAAAATGTGGTATGTCATTTTGACATGTGTTATGTCTGTGCAAGAATAGTTACAATATTTCATCTAAAAATTTGTTAAAATAGTTAGGAAATGCATTTACTAAAGAAATAGGATAATTTGAAGACTGAAAAAGTTAAAGTTCTAGTCCTTTTTTTTCTGCCCCTACACAAAGTCAGGTGATCTAGTATGGCCCCTGGATTATTGGCATTAAAATATGACTTGTCTCTGGACTTTGTAACCAAGTCTTGGGAGGAGATAAGAAAGTGTCTTATCTTAGGTCTGGAAGAAACGTGGAATCCAGTGTTGAGGTAGTGGAATACTTATTTCCCAGATGTAGCATAAGGTTTTCAAGCCTGAAGGAAAAGGTTAATCTCCTTTTCAAAACAGACTTTGCTAACTTGGGCCTGGACATGGCAATCCTGTTTCCAGCCATCCTGTGTATAAGCTTTAACAGTCAAAGGTTTATTTGCTTTGATTTTGAGGTAGCTCATCTTTTCTTAGTGACTCGTATTCAAGATTTCGAAAAGAAGAAACAGTGGTGAGCTGAATACTTCCCTGGATTCTGATGAGAAGTTCTTTGGAAGTTTTATAATTCCTGAGTTTTAAATCCTTGAAAATTAACTTTATTGGTATGACCCTTTGTTTTTCTCATTGCAACTTAATAGTTATAGTTTGGTATATCCAATGTGTATTACGTTAGCATAGATTTATAATTTCATGTCTGATTCAGGTTTCATTTTATACACTGCTGATTTTATATTATGCCTATGTTCTTATAGCGTTCAGTATTAATCTATTAATTTTAATTCATTTAAAATGTATAGATTTCTTTTATCTCTGTGTGTTTTTCAGAAAATCTTTTTAACAATGAACCAATGTGGGATTTTATTTGTCATCACAGATGCAATAGCTATTTATAATTTTATTCTTTTTTATTTGCTGTGTCATTACAAGATCATTTAACTAAGATTGGATGGTGAAAAAGTCTGGTTCCTCTTGTTCTCTGGAGAAGTTGTTGGATCTGAAGAGGCTCATAGTGTACATTGGTAAGGATTCTTTTGGGATATAACAGATAATAAAGAAACTTTTTACTTTGTAGAGTCTGTTAACAGATGATCACATCATATCCTGGGAGAGAGTAGCTGGAAAGGAATATTGATTTGAATTTTTATGCTTGGATCTTGTGAATCTTGACTTTCTTACGTCTTCAATTCTTTGTATTATTCTTTATCATTCAATCCTCAAGAGTCAAAAATTTATGTAATTTTTCCTTCTAAGAATGAATTTGAAAGGGTTTTCAATAGTGAGACTTGAGGGACAATTCTATCTTTGAGTCAGGTTTAGCACTGTACTTGGCACATAAAAGACAATAAATGTTGGGGCTGGAGTGACAGCGCAGCAGGTAAGGTGTTTGCCTTGCATGGGGCTGATCCGGGTTCAATCCCCGGCATCCCATATGGTTCCCAGAGCACTGCCGGGAGTGATTCCTGAGTACAGAGCCAGGAGTAATCCCTGTGCAACACCTGTGTGACCCAAAAAGAAAAAAAAAAGACAATAAATGTTGAAACAAGGGATTTGAAAATGAGTGATATGAATGATTACTTATAGCCTATGAAAGACCACAGTTACCATTATATTCAATTTAGAATAATTGAGATAATAAATCATAAAATGATAAAAAGAGCTTAAAGTGTAAAAAATTATGTACATTGTATTTTTAAGCACTGTGTTTTGACCAATAAGCTGTGTACAGCTATTTTAACTACTTTAATTAAGAAAGTATCAGCATATGAAATAAGTGAATAGCAATAAACTATGATATATATCAAAAGCATATAATATTTTAAAAATTATAATTTTACATGGTTTTTAAGCAGTGACAAAACAAAAATTGAGAGAATTAATCTAATAGATGTTTGGCCTAAAATTTCTTCATCAGGCAAATATTGCATCATTTTTATATTGACTCAGTGATTTAGAGTCTGTTTTAGTATTTCTCATAGATTTTTTCAACATCATTATATAAGGAGAAAGTCTCAGCAGACAGAAATAGGGTGGTCTTTGACACTGCAGTGTGCATGTCACTGTAAAATTCATTTACATATTTTAAATGTATTCATTCTATTCATTCTTCCTTTGACCCCTCTGTTTTCTTGTTCCTTGCATCTTTCAATGTATGTCCTAAGCATTATTTTCTGGAGAAATTTGTGGTAGAATGAGGAAGAAAAGAGAAAAAAAAAGCCAGAGATATAGACGACTAAAATACTTTGCGTGCTAGATGAAGAATGGTGAAAAACACACACACACACACACACACAAAAATCAAATAATATTCTTACATTGAACAGCCCTAGTCTGTGCTATGGATCAGGCTTAATTTTCAGTGTTAACTTTTATTTCTTTTGTTTTCTTTCTTTCAACATTTCTTTTGGACTTATGCTTTGACTCTTATAGCATTACCAGAAAGCAGTTTTATGTCCTACCTTTGGTGTTCAATAATCATTTTGACCTTTAAGTTCCCTCCTTCACCTCATTTGGTGTGTGCCTAGAAACTGAGTCAGAAGCTGCCTAGAGAGCTTTCTGGCTGAAATAACAGTTTTCAAAATGATGGTCTCCATGATGTATTCGTTGCCTTATTTTTGTGAATAAGTATGATAAATTTAACTTTTATTTAAATATAATAGTATTTTCAAAGGCAATTTCTCTTTAAAATAATAATTTTCATTGAAATTGCTTCTTGTCTCTAAACAGAAAGCTAGCTGCAATGACAATTTCCAAAAAACTGCAGTCAATAAAATATTTCTTTCTTGGTTATTAAAAAAGTTTATTTTCATATTTGAGTTGTTTTTTCCAGTTTACTATGATATTTAAATTTGCTTCTAAGTATTATCTAGATAAGTCTTGAGATCCCTTATGAGAAGAAAAGTTCCTATTTTTCTAACTGTATATTAAAAATAAAACAAAAATGAGCATGATAGTGACTATTGGATAACAATTCTTCTTCTAAAGTGTTCAGAGAATGCTTATTAGATTTTTGGTGCTCTGATTTGCATGTGAATGGAGAAGTTAAACTACACTTTTAAAAGATCTTTAGCTGAAGGGTTTAATAACTTTATTAGGTTCTAAGTCTTAGAATCTTAAACAACTAGGAAAATAAGGAAAAAATGCTAATTAAAGATCCAGTCATTTTTAAGAGCTTATCTTCTGTTTATCTAGGACTCATAACATTTTATTTGTGAATTTTGAAAAGGAAATATATTTTTAAGAGAGTTCTTAGCTTATGTTTAAAATAGCAATATTTTATAACTAATCTATATTCTTAAATTCTATCTTTGCTTTATTATAGAAATAAAATAAACTGATCAAATATTAATACTATTAATTAGTGGTAGAAAAAATTGACTTATGAATAAGGACTTTTTTGAGTCAGAGACTTTAATAATTTGAGAAATGTGGCCTTTATTTTTAGTATAAATACTGTTCTACACTAATAAGCATTCTTTATATATTTTATATTTATGAATTATTTAGACTAGTTGCTATAGTACTAATGCTCCTTCCATTATGCTACTTTTTCTTTCTGTGTTTTACTTTTCACATTATTTATAATCATTCTTTTTTGTAGAACTTTTTATTGCTTCTGCTTGACCTCAATTTCTACTCTAGTCAATTGACTTTAAAACAACTTTTAAAAAACTTGACCCAGTTCTCTCAGTCATCTACTATTCAATCTTTTGCTTTTCTATTAGTTCAAAAAGTTCTCCAGAACGTTTTTTTAAAAGAATGTTAAAAAAATTAATTCCTTTATCCGACTTCAATTAGCAATGTCATGTATTTTCCTCTTCTTATAAAGCTGAAGATATACTGATGAGGTCAAATAAAAGTGAAAAATAAATGATACCAAATAAACAACATAAGAAAAAAACGTTCATTCTCAAACACCCAAGATGTTCCAAGAGCTGGAATCCAAATAGGTACTTTTGACTAATGTTATTTTGTAGAATTTGGTAATGAAGATGTTGGCTTCCTTCTAATCTTCCTCTTCCTCTTTCTCCAAATCCTTGCTCTTCTTTTAATCTCTCAAGAATATTAGTTTTATCCAATAAAATTAAAACTTGATACAATTTTAAAAATAAGCACTCCATCTTTCAATCATTCAACTCAGAAGTTTTCAAGTCTGGAGCTAGAAAGATCTGTATGGTCCAATCATGGGGATTTGCAGCCATATTTCAGAAAGATAGAAACTTGACTGTTTATGAGAGCAGTGGTCTGATTGCTAGTTGGATATAATATGTCTTCCTGGATCAACTTCCCCTGTTAATGGTAGGACGTGGAAGAAATCAGATTTAATATAACAAATGTACTATAAATGGGGGTGGAGTAGGAATGTGCGTGGTTGACCAGTAAAACAAACGTCTTCTACGTCATTCCAAGGTGATCTATGGGCCCCCTTACTTAATGAAGTCGGTAACTTCAAGACACGTTGCACAACTTGCTTCTCTGTGATCATCAAATATGTTTAAAGACAATCCAGTACTCTCCTAGCACATGACCTGAATCACCATCAATAACCTCTTACCATGGCCGGAGTTGCTCTTTTGGGCCTTGCAAAATCGTTGGTGTTTACTTTCAACAGAAGTTAAGAAAACAAGTCCATCAGAGCTGTTCGTTCTGTTCAGCACTTTGCATGATGGTTTTGTTGCGATGACAATCACTGTTCAAAAAAGCTGATGATGAATTAATTTTCTAAACTTTTCTTAGAAATATTTGTTATTTACAATGATGATTGCCTAATGATTTGGTCATTCTATTTTATCAAATTTACGTAGTAGGTATATTTAGGACAAATTTTCAAAAAATGCTTAGGCCAATATTAAGTATAAAGTTTGATTATGTAATTGTTAATCTTTTCAATTAATTGTTCTATCACTTAAAATTATTCTCATTTGAAATGCGGTTATTCAGAACAAATTTCTACAGAGGTTTAGATATAGCATTAAATTTCTCTAGAATAAAGAGCAGGGTTTGCTTTATTTAGCTACCCATATCTTATATTTATAAAACAATGTAATAGAAAAAAATTATTTTAAATTATTTTAAATCTATTATTTTATATACCTCTGAGAATATAAAATGATCTTAATTACAAGTCAATTAGTCCTGTTAGGTTGCTGGCAAAGATATTTTTATTTCTGTATTATCTTCCTCATTTCTCATTATTTTACTTTATCTTACATATCATTATTTTGAGGGGACAGTGCTGCAGCTGGAACTCAGGGCCTCACAGATGCAATGCAAGTGCTCTGCTGCTGAATCACAATTTTGGCATCATTAAACATAGTAACAAATGATAGAATTTATGATTAGCTTCTTATGCCACTGACTTTTACTGTTACATTTTATTCATTCTCAGTTATAATTTTTTTGAACACTACCATCTTCCTAATCATATATTCTTCCCTTCAAATTGTATCTTAACCAGCCTATTTTTAAATCATTTCATATTGTTACCTCTGTCTTTCCTTAGCAAAATTGACATCTTAGGTTAAGGATTAATTTTGACTACATTCATTTATGATGATGGCCATGAAGCTAATAATAGCTGAATGATTTCAGAGAAGTTATTCTCTGAGGCTCAGCATTCTCATCTTTGGTATAGGGAGCAATTGTATCTGTGTTTCAGAAATTGCTTTAAAGTGAACTGTGAGGCATGCTAGTTAGACCTCGTTAGATCTGTGATCTAATAGGTGATCCAGCAGATGACAGTTACCCTAAGTTTGAGGCAGAAACACATTTATTGTAACCACTAAAGTTGATTGATTTTATATTTATGTTCATGGCATAGTTGTGTTGTATGGATCTTTATATTAATTTAGATCTGTGATAAATATATGGTGGTTCTAGATCCCAATGTCTTACCTTCCACTGAAAGATTTTTTTCTAATAACTTCATGTTTTCACTTTCATGAGATTAAAGGTTTGATTAGTCATCTTATATGACATGGTTTTAAATGCAATAGTCATTTCATAAAAATTCAACTCTACA